AACCATGTTATTTGTAGTCGCTTTGTAGTTTGAACATTTTTATAGTCGTTTAGCTTAGTTTTGTGTCTGTAGCCATTTTATGTTAATTTTTGCTCATTTTACATTTCTTTGTGGTTATTTTGTGTCTCTTTTGGTGATTTGGCATATTTTTGCTCTCTTGTGGTCTTTTCTATCTCCTTTTAGTCATTTCATACAGTATATGTACAGTATGCTTATATTTTTGTTCTTGTTTTGTGGATTTTTGTAGTAATTTTTAAGTTATTTTATTGTCTTTCCAATGGGAAGTTTAACAGTGCCTTTATGGTTCTCTGTTATAGGGGCCTCCTGGCCCCATGGGCCCCTGGTAGGCCTGTTCAGTAGTCCATTCGTGACTGTCTCCACCACATGGATTACATGAAATCTGATACAGACATTCATGGTCCCAGAGAATGAATAATAATAATTTACACTGATTTCATCTAATGCTACAAACTGTCCAACAACTATAATATCCTATTTCTAATTATCTTAGTTTTAAAGTAATAATGGTGATGAGTCAAAGCCCATGAAGATGATATTTTATATTGGTGTTGATTTTTTCTGTACTTGTTATGTTTAATTTTAATGTATATTGTCATTTACACTGTACGGCACTTGGGTCCCCTTTGCTTGTTTTTAGTGCTTTATAAATAGTTGGAATGGAATGGAATATCAGAAGTGTATGATTTGCTAAAGGGGTGATTATTTTAAATGACTATGGTTTTTTTTTTCATACTCTACATACATGGCCTGTTTTTATAATACACACACCAGTGACAGAGCAACTTGAGGCTCAGTGTCTTGCCCAAGGACAATTGGACTCATGAAGCTGGGAATTGAGCTGCCGACATCTGGAGTTAGAGGACCTCCTGAGCCACAGCCGACCCAGATTTACACATCAGTACTGTGAATGTATTAGCAGCATAAAAAAGTATTTTAAAAATATAATTCCACATTTAGAATGGAATTAGAGATGTCAGTGTATTTAAATTTTCTGAAAATAAGAAACTTCCTGAAAGATAACATTTTTGTTATATCCAGTTTACATATATGTACTGTATTTTCAAATAACAGATGCCAAATGACTCCAGCTTTTGTGAACACCAGCTCAGATATTTCAACTTGTACAGCAGAAAATGTAGTAAATATTATGAAATCTGATAAAACTCACCATTTTTCAAGTAGTTGCCACTTGTTATATTTGGCTTATTTCAACCCCATTCAAACATTATACATATACGTATAACTTACTATGTAACATGCTTCAGGGTGATTGGGGTAAAAGTCATGAATTTAACAGCCAAAGGTGACACTAGCAACACAGTGATGTTATGGGATGACCAGACACATTTTCAGAGCAGGATGTAGTCTGATTCTAGCAGCAGATGTCACCATTGCATTGTAAATGGTTCTACAGTACACACTGCAGCTCCACCTGCAGCCCTTTCATTTTAATTGGTAGAATGTAAAGAAATGCCACATGAGGAAACTTCTAGGGGGTTATGAAAATGAGGATAAATGAATTGATGAAATTCCTGCCCCATCCTTCTCACAGTCCAGATGGACACTTGTGTAGGAGAAAAGGGAATTTTATGTGGGTAAATAGGGTTGGGGGGGTGCTGCCCCGCAGAACAAAAGAAGCATCTGAGCAGGAGGTGGACTAATTTAACCAATCTTTACTCTGCAACAATCCTGTGGCCCTCTCAGAACCTCTCAGGCCTTTGCAAAAGAGCACTTGAAGAGTTGAAAAACATTCCAGAGAGAGAAAGTACCTGGCGACAGAGAGCAGCTTTAGTTTAGAGTAAGACCAGACAAGGGAGGTTGTTACCATGATCATGAAATCCTTCACATCCTCAATCTGGTCTTGTTTTAATAATGTCAAGTTTGGTTCATTAACATTGCCTCAGTTTTAGTTTTGGTCACAGGTTATTTGTCAACTTCCACTGTATTGTGGTATTTGGAGGGAGTCCATCCAGAGAAAAGAATTATTTCAGAGACAACGTAATGTATCCTTACACAGGAATACTATAGCCTAAGAAGTAGATAAATGAACACCTCACTGACCCACTGTCCATTACAAAAGCAATATTTATTACATGTGTTTTAATCTGCCAATTTGTCCATCACCTTTAAATTCATTCATTTAAAACTTTGACTGTGTTTGTTGAGTTGGCAAGTTTTAGAAATGTTTATAAAACACTGGAACAAAACAGAAGTTTATTTACAATAATAAGTAGCTGATGGAAAAAAAAGGAAATATGAAACAAAGAGCAGAAAAACAACAATTGCAAACTAAGACAATAGTGGAATAATGGAAGAGTGTACTACTCTGTGGGAAGAGGTTGTGGAAATGTCACGAGGAAACTATATAGAGTGTAAACTGTAATATGGTTGTGATTTTAGAAGAAGCTCCTAAATTGAATTAGTCTTTTATTCTGTTCTTCTCGTCCTCTGATCACAAATTCTTTGTCAGTGTAACATAGCTTTCATGTTGATGTGCTATGCTCGAGTCAACATTTTCTAACTAAACTTAAGAACAATGGGAATATGCAATGCACTCATTTTATCCATTTCAAGACAGATTTAAAAAAGACCTGCTGTTGCTTACATGCATACTCACATGTGCAAATGTTTGTACTGTCAAGGTTCAGATGAATGGCATGGTGAAAAAGTAATCTTAAGGCTCTCTGGATCAAATTAATGTATTGACCTGGTTAGCTGACTAGCTGAGCTAGTTAACTAGCTGAACTATGGGCAGCAACTTGAGCTGCAGGTATGCATGTATGACAGAGCCACGCAGCTTTAATGAGCCACCAAAAGAAAACATTGGCAGTCTAAACAACTCAGCAACCTTAAGATGCCACTTCATACATTCAGTTTGATAGTCACTGCCAAA